GTTCCTAAGGTGCTCTTTGTCATGAAAGTATCTTATTTCTCCATCAATTTTGAAAGATAGTTTTGCGAGGTACATCAATCTGGGTTGGAGGCTGTTTTCCTATAGGGCTTCGGATACATCACTCCAAGATCTTCTTGCCTTGAGGTTTTGCATTGAGAAGTCTGCTGGGATTCTATTGGGCTTTCCTTTGTATGTGAGTTGTTTCTTTTCTCTAACTGCTTCTAGAACTTTGTTCTTCTGTTGGGTTTCTGGAATCTTAACAATTGTTTGCCTGAGTGCAGATTGTTTTTGATCAAGGCTAGTTGGAGTCCTATATGCCTCACTTATCTGTATGTCAAGTTCTTTTTCCCTGCTTGTTCAGTTTTCTCCCATCAGTTCTGTGAACAGTTGTATGTCATCTGCACTCTTTCCAGTTTCTTCATTGACTCTGATCAGTCCTATGTTATTCTTCTTTGCATCATCTAGTACCTGCTGGATGGTCCCTTACAATTTTAAAGCAACTTTTCTTTTCCTGGTCACTAATTGCAACCTTATCTTCTGTATCTGAAATTCTGTCCTCACATTGGCTCATTCTGCTGCGTAAACTTTCAGTGGAGTTTTTAATCTGTAAATCTGTTTGCATCAGTTTTATGGATTCCATTTGTTTCCTATGTTGAGATTCCATCATGTTCCTCAGGTCCTCTCTAGATTTATTAATCATCTCTTGTACTATGGCACAATCTCTGCTGTTATGTGAGGAATTATTTCTGATTTCATTTTTCACAGATCCTCTTTTCTTGCCTGTTCATGGAGTTCAGGTGGTTGAGTATGAGAGTGTTCCATCTTGTTTTGCTTTGGGATTGCTGTAGGTGATGTAGAAGTCTAGTTTTGAGGCTTGCTTATGTGTTTTCTCATTGTGATGGGGGTGTTGTATTGCTGGCACCTGTGTGGTTCACCACCGCTGCTGGCAGTGGTGGTCCATTGGTCTGGAAGCCTCCTCCTCTGTGCTGGGAGTGGTTGCAGGTCAACCCAGAAGCCTCCTCCTCTGTGCTGGGAATGGTGGTACATTGGCATGGAAGCCTTCTCCTCAGATCTGGAGGCGGGTCCTTTGGTATTAAGGACAAGGCCTTGGGGTAGAAATCCCAGATTTCTGGGTGAAGATTTTGGAATTAATAGTATATGCTTATCTGAAGAAATCTCTCAGTGAACCAGCAGAGAGGGAATTAGGATAGGGGGTGAGCAGGGTTTGTTGTGGGGTGAAGCATAGGAAGTATGGATGGACAGAGATATTCCAGACATAGAGAAACATGCAAAGGAAGACAGGAAAAAAGATCAACAGGGAGAGGGAAATATTTGAGGAGATAGTAAGGTAAGAGAGATTAAAAAATAGAAAATAGACAATAAAAAGAAGACCCTGAGAAACTCCTTGTCCTTCAAGTTTGGGTTGATGGTGGTGACCCTGGTGGCCATATCCTGGAAAGCCTATGAACTTCTCTAGGAATTAGGATAGAATTGGTAGCTGTATCTTAAAAAGGCAGTGGGCTTCATGTAGCTAGAGGAGGGAAGCTGGGGTTTGGGATGGTGAGAATCAGTCTTCTGAAGGATGTGTTCCTGTTTCTCTATGTCCAGGAGGGAATGGCCTGAGAGACACCTCCCCACTTAGATAACTGGGACGTTTACCCCTGTGAAGGAGGGCAGCTTTGGAATCATTCTCCCTGGATGGAGGTGGGGTTGAGGTGGAACCCAAGTTAGTTTTTGCTTCCCTTAGAGAAGCAAAAGAGAGAAGTTGGAGAGAGAGAGCAAGAGATGTACAATGTACACTTGTTCTGTGGGCTGCCTCTACATCTGTGCCCACCTGTGCCAGCCTGAGCCATCTGGAATGTAAGGGTGGATGCATTGTGTAAGGATGTCATAAGTGTGGTGCATTTAGCAGGCCTCCTCCAGACTTGGGAGAGACAGATGCTGTGGAAGAACATGAACAACTCCACCAA